ACGGAAGAAGCGCCTTCATCAGATGAGCTAGAATGGATAAAATCGTGTGCCAACGCCGAGGAAGAGTTACCGAAACGAATCGCTCTGGAAGTTGGAGCACATCGCCTTCGACGAGGTGGGAAAACCAGCTTCGTCGTGTGATGCTGGTCATAGCCTCTCGTGCAGTGCTACAACAATGGTTTTATATCAACAGAAGCCAAGTTATTGCCATCATACGCCCGATTTTGTAGGCAGTAACGTGTGAAAAAACAAAGAATAATTTCTTCGCACAGTTTTTTTGAATATGGGCTCTTGATTTCAGCAGTCATTGCTGTGTATTTGCAGGAAGCGATGATGATTTGGTAGCTGCTTTGGCATCATTCCTACAAGATGATGCTCTGAGCATTCGAGAAGAGGTTGGTCTGCCAACTGTAAGCTCGAAAGTACCTTCGATTTTCTCATTACCCTGACGATCCTCTATGTAATTTACATGGACACGCTAGGGTGGCACCCCTTTCAGCATTCTGCATGTCCATATTCGTCCTAATACTTCTAGTTATTTTCGAGATCTACAGCCCTTTCAGGCGTCATCGTTATTATCGAAACACATCTTGAAGAGCAACATATTGCTCAATCCTGGGGTTTGCTACCGCCCTCCTTTCGTTGTAATTATGGAGAATATTCCCCATCTGGAAAGCGAAAACAAGGAACTAGAGCGAAACGTAAGATTTTCAAATCTGGTCTTTTCCTAACTTCCTTATATAAGCTGTGCTGAAAGCTTTTCCTTACAACGTTCATTTTCAATTGAGTTTATGCCACAGACCAGCCGGCTGGCGCTAGGGCGCCGCTTCCTATCTGTGAGCGCGGCTTTAGAAGTAGAAGTTGATTCAGATCTACCAACTATATATGCTCTGCCTAAACTGCACAAAGATCCGATCAAGTTCAGATATATTACTGGCGCACATAGCAGTAGCATCAAACGCGCTAGCTTAAAGAAGCTACACGTTATGGCAGCCTACTTTTCACACATTATCAAAAACCATTTCATAAACTATGCAAAAGTGATGCAAAACCGAAACAGAACGATTAAGACTTACTGGTCGATAGACAACATCAATATAAGTCAGGAGCTGACTAATATTGCCTACGGCAATGTTAAAATATATACTGCCGATTTCACTGACATGTTTACAAACTTGGAACATAGCCTCATTATCAGGAATATGCAACAGCTTATGAGCATCTGCTTCAAAAATGCCAATAAGGCGTTCATTGCTAGTAATGGTTACCATGTTTTTTACTCAGACGGTAGAGCAAATAAAAGCAACTACAGATACTACAAAGCTACCGACTTAATATATCTTATCGATTACTTATTGCGCAACAGTTTTTGTATTTTTGCTGGTAACATATTCAATCAGACTAAAGGTGTTCCACAAGGAGGCAACTTCAGCCCGCTGTTGGCAGACCTTACGCTGTCAATCATGGAATACAATTATGCAAAGTGCAATAGATTCAATGCTAGTAAGTTGCTCATTCCATACAGATATATGGATGATCTCCTAGTCATACATAACCAGTCTGAAAATGAAGTCGATGAACAACTCGCGGAGGTCTATAGAAATACCCTCCAGTTGAAGAAGACACACACAACTGAGCTATACAGTAATTATTTGGACTTAACCATCAATATAGTAAACGGCCAAATTACTACTGGTTTATATAATAAAACAGATGACTTTAACTTCAAAGTGATTAGATTCCCACACAGTGATTCAAATATCTCCACTAACAATAAGGCTTCCGTTATATACACAGAAACCCTTAGGATAGCCAACACCTGTACTTGCTTTGATACGTTTATTGGAAGAATATCGGATATGGTAAGAATGCTTTATAGCAGTGGTTACAGTGAGGACTTCATTATAGCTAGTATAGTGAGGAGTATTTATAGAAATAAACTTATATGTTACAAATACTCTATTATGAATGATTACGGTAGCATAAGCAGATTAGTCCGAGGTATTCTCAGTGGCTTTTTCGTTTAAATTGGTGTCTATGTAACACATTTTTTTACCTGCATGTGTCGTGTAGTATTTTCGGATATTATAATGTAACATCAACTGATAGTTTTTCGTAATTACGACGTCCTACCACGTTATCCAATCAATTAGCATTCTTAAACCTCTCAGTCTTTATCGTTTTCAACTTTATACCTTATAAACTTGCTGCAATTGATTTTTCTTCCTTTCCTTACTGAAGAGCACGGAAGGAGGAATATGCTTTTGCTCGGCTTCCGTCTAAGGGCACGTGCGAAACGGAAGCTGAGCTATCTCTTTGCTTTCGACCCCCCTCAATAATTCTCATTTATTAGATTTTACAACATAGTTCATTAATCTGTTTCAAAGATTTTATTTGCTCTAGAATACCCGGCTATAATGTGTGACCTCTTTGCAGGGTCAATGCTCCTAAGCTAAACACATCACACCTATTAGTTTCAGCTCTAATATCATTTGTGTGGTCGCGGTAAAGAGCACAGAAGGGAGATATACCAGGCCATAGCAAGTGCATTTCACACACAGCGTATGGTTCTGTCTGTCCCGTACCGCACAATACTGTCAACGAGCGTAAGATAGAGTCGCTCGAGCTAGAGGCGCAAGACGATCGACCAAGCTGAGCGCGACCGCATGAGCCAGGCTACTGAGACACAGAGAGATCTGCGTCGACGCGGAGCGATGTCATTGGCAGTTCGACTGGTCACAAGTAGCAGAATCCAATGATTTGTACTTGTGGAGAGTTATGCAAGACTCGCGCAATAGCGTAATATCGAGATGAGCAACTATCCACAATGTGGTGATTTATTGATTTCTATCACGGAGGTGCGGCTATGGAACTCACAGGCATGTCACAGCAAGTGATGTTTCTGCGATAATTGTACGAGCATTGACTGAGCTGTTCCGCTGACGCGCAACCTCCCACTACGGAGTGGACCAGCTGTCTTTTGTTGGACTCACCATCTGTTATGGCGTGCTGTTAGAGCAGGATGGGGGTGCCGGGTCTGCGTCTGGCTTGACCCTACTCCCTACTCCGTTGTTCTCCGAGCGTGCTCAGCTATCTCTGGCCACTGGCTCTGTGCGAAGCGAATTGCTTGAGTAGTTTCTAATTCTTCAATCACATGTATGGGAGGGAGGCAGAGGGGAGGGGCCCCGAAGGGGTGCAGGGAGGGGTGCGTAGCGCGCGCTTGAGTAGAAAGGCGCACCAAAGGAGGAGGAAACAACCGATAAGAAAACAGCTGGCTAATCCATGTTACCGTCACGAACTGAAAAGTTGTTTTGATCATAATAACACTTTCCACCATATAAGAGGACCCCACACTCCGATTCATTGCACACACCTGGGTGCGGTATCGCATTCGCGCTGTGGTCAAGTCCCACGCAGTGGGCGTGGGCCAGCGAGCAGCGGCACTTCACGTGCGAAAGACGTGCCGATAGTGGGTCTAGCGAGCGCGAGTGGTCCTGAGCTCAACCGCGCGCATGACAGGTGGACACCGAAAGGCGTGGGAGCTAGAGCTTACTCGCGAATGAATCAACTCTCGTCGACTACTCTGCAATTCTCCGCTTTCCGACTGCGTAGGCACCAGAATGCAAGCAGACTTATCGGCGAGAAATTTGTGTTATATATAGCGGCAGACCAAACTTACTAGCACAGGGAGAGCTAAAGCGGACGTATCCCTTCTTGCAGAGCGTCCAAGAGACCACATTGCGAGGAACTTGGGTAAGCACTGCGAGCGATCTGTGAAAGCCAAGGTAGGAGCGAGAGATGAAGTCACACGAGAAAAAAGGCGAACGAACCGCTAGCAAAACCCTGAGCTAAGGTAATCCAAGTCACAGCAACGAACTAAAAAGTTGCTTGAATCGTGATATCGCTCTTTGCTATATATGACAACCACTGTGACAGACTCTAAGCTATTACACGAACTGCTCGCTTAGAATCTGGACGTGAGCAGGGCGGTAGTAAGAGTAGCGGCAGGGGAGTGCCCTATGTTGCGCTAGCTGCTCACATGATAATGTGAGAGTGGGCGATGGTTAAGCAGGGTGACTGGGAAATGATGTGGTGAGGAGGTACCAGATGAGTGCGACTATTTCGCGATCAGTAAGACAAGGTAGCGAACTTGCGGCGATGAGGCCTTTGCAGAATGTGTGTCACACAAGAACAAAGAGAGAGCTAAGAGCGCGCTCGGAAATGAACGCGATTAATTTTCATTATCAAGATCATGGTGCTAGCCGTTCTAGTCACACCCCACTCAAGGTTTTGAGTTCAGTACATGGCAACACTCATTGGCATTCACTAAACACTACGAGCTCAAGTTCATTTAGTTCTTTACTCTTAATTGGCTCGATAGCCTTATGCGATTTCTGAGGTCTGAAATGGTCGCGGTGGAAGTAGCAAGCCTGAGCAATCCGGACTTGAAAGTTCTTCCTATGGGTGATGGCGGGCGAGGGGGGATGACAGAGCTAGTTGGGATAGGTGAGGTGAATGGGCACCGTGCATCGTCAGATTTGAGAAGCTGCGCTCACGACGCCTAGAAGAGACGACCGTGAGATGTTATGTCCGAGATCTCGAGAGGTCTAGAGGATATATGGTGAACTGCGAATGACAACTTTCTGAACAGCATGTATGTAATCAATATTGTCTATCTTTGGTCATATAATCGCATCATGTATATGAATGACTAAAGTTATCGAGGGTAGATTCTTGATTGTTTCTCATGGCTACCCTCAATGCTATGTGTGTCGTCTTGATTTTTTCTCAAGAAATCATGTTGTTTTTTTCATGTAAGCTTGTACGTTCATGTTGATAAACATATTCTATAGTTCGTAACATAAAGTTCTTTGCTTACACGTTATAACGTTTCTTAGAGTTTATACCCGTATAAATTATTCTTTACTGTTCTTGCAGTTGACTCTCCTACATTGTCTCACAACTCTAGTGCAACTTATATTCGTAGCAGGTTGGTTCGCGATTCAATATGGTTATGAAATTGCCTTGTTTGACTTCTGTGTACAATGATAGAGATTTTAGCTGAGAGATCATTTTTACTTCGCAATTGCGATTTATGACATAAGTTGAGAGATTACATTACAACGTGTGTTTCTATGGATTGGATTCGAACACACGTTCGGTCTTTACACCTCTTCAAATCAACAGTACTAACCTTCATGAATATCACACACACAATCGAATAGCAAAGCGTTATGACTACACGATTGTCACTGTAGAGCTGCTCAGATTCTCGCGTTGTCGCTAATTCAGAGTCTTATGCACAAAGATATATTCAGGACTGAAAGTGAGGCTAAGAAATAAACCGAGTTGAGCTCTGAAGAAAAATGGAAGTATGCGAGAAAAGAAAATAAATAAGTCAGTAATGCAACGGTATACCTACTTGATTAGCTAGGAGCAGCTCGCCTCACAGCTAAAAGCTTCAACGACAATGACCGAATGCTCAGAAAAATTAAACCTAAACACAGTATTCGGTAACTACTAGAGCGAGCGATGGTTATTCTCACGACTGAGTCGGCGAGTTGTCTGCGGTAACCGAGAGCGACGACCAGATAAAAGGAGATAAATGTGATGAGAGAAAAACGGCACACATCGGTAAGGTCATTTCTCTGTTCCTATGTGGGCAGATAGGAATTACACAACTTTGAAAAGCATGAATCTCCGACAGCGAAGGAGGATGAATGATCTGACATTCATTAGGCGACAGCTGGCGAACGGATCCACAGGAGACTGTCTATAGTTGCGAGAGTAATAGAAGGGCGACGAGAAGCAAGATGCTCTCAATGAAAAGAACGTAAGAAACCTTTATCTAGAAATTTATTGAACAACATCTGTGTGCACAGTAGCTCTCCAGCACACATATCAACATATACGCGAAGAGCGGAAAAACTCACTATATGTTCGTAGTATACAAGCTGACTGCCTATCTTACCTTGGCGTGGAATCTCGTAACTAATATTTCCCAGAAGTTCTGACACACGGACGTTTTTCAAATGATGCCCAGCCGTAGCAAATAAATGAGGTAATTGGTACACAAATAATGCGCAAGAATATCGCGAGTGCAACACAACGTGGTATGAACTCTTATTCTCGAAAAGAAAGTAGAAAACAATTTCTTCATATGTTATTGCAAATATTTATGTGAAGATGAAGTGGTATGTATACTGACGACACTCCGCAAAATATAAAGACTAATTCGTTAATATCCACCGGAATTACCATGAATATAGTCCCCGAGAGATGCCGAATCGTCTCATCGGTCGACTTAGTCTAGGTAAAACTTCTCATCACTCCATCAGTGGACACTCGTTAATCCGTATCTCTATTGCTAATAGGCAAGTATGGAAGAGTTATATCATTAATAGGATCTCTATAATATAAGCGACAAATTAATACTATATATATATTATAACAAAGAAAGCCTCAGTATAAGTAAACTTGATGAATCGTCGAATGGCGCGCATGGTATTTTGACGGGTTAGCTACTCATTATAGCTTTCATACTAATTTTCTACTATCAAAGCGATCCACCATCAGAGATATTGATAGTACTTGAGAAGAAGATGGACTAGTTAGGACATCACGTTATATCTTTAAGCTAGACCGATAGAATTAACTGACGTACTGACATGATGAAAACATCAAATCTTACTGCAGTGTCCGTTGATCCTCAGAATTTAAAATGATCAATTATTCGAAGGTTAATATTCGTCATGCGAAGTGAACTAGACTGTTAGGTATATATATACGTTAACTCTTAGAAAAACTCTCATATCAGATGAAGGCGCTTCTTCCGTAGAGACGAAAACAAGAAGGCGATAAGCCATCGCTATTGTTTCCGGCCTGAATTGCAGGTACGTTATGCTGACGTAAGTTTTCGAGACTGGCTGAATCGAAGCTAAAAGTTACACCACCACTGGTCTTCAGTTTCAAAACAAAATATGGTTTTAGAGCTTATTGCAATTATAAAACGACAAAAAATGACATACATTCGCCACTCTCCAGCAATTTTATGTCGAACAAGTGCGACAAGTTCCTGCTCTTTGGAATCAAGAAACTGTCGATTAATGCACAACACATCGAGTATCTGCAATTCAAAGCTCGCAGCTGCGTTTCCCCATACAAAACACTCAGAGCAACTCACACAAGCGATATCGCGTTCAGCTCTACAACATTCCAAGTCTTCAACTGCGAAATTGAGCATGAATTTAAAGAACTGAAAACAAAAACTAAATAGTGCAGCTTCAAAAATCTCTCACACTCCCTCACATATAATTAGGGTTAAGGGTAGGTCGCGAAACATGAACCCGTTGGAGCTACTTGCGACTCATGACACTCAAGAACGGGAGGACAAAAAAATTAGTCCAAGATGCTGGATTCAATGGTCAGGATGAGGTAAACCGATTAGGGGTGGGTATACAAGGAGGGCATGCCCATCGTGAACTGGGAATTCCAGTTTACTCTTAACTGCACCACCGGACCCTATTTTGATTTCGACTTTCAACAAAATTCTTCTTTTGAAGTAAGTTTGGACAAAACTTTGCCCCCTGCGTGGTATTCCCTCCGAACACGAATACTCTATATCTGTTGAAGCCAAAGCTCCTGGTGTCCGTACAACGGACGCAAGCACTGTGATCACCTGATGCCGACGCCTCCAGGGCACACATCAGGCATTTTCCGAGGTTGGTGGCATTCTTCGGCCAAGTGGACGTAAATGAAAAAAAATGAAATGAAATTATTTATGATAACCTCAGCGTACCTCATTAGGACTCCCAGCCATCTGTAAACAGCGGTATATTTCCAACCGCAGGCCTAAATCTGACGACAGTTGCTCATTTCTTTTGCCACTTTTAAAGATTTCGTAAGCTAGCGGACGCTGGAACTGCGTATTTGGAAACTACACTTCACACTCGAAATGACTTATTACCTTTGACAGCACCAAAATCTTCATAGTCCAGAGCGGTGTCATAGTCAAACCCAGATTCATTGCATAACAATAGGAATAAGTTCTTGTTCATGTCACACCTTGAAAAAAAGTGTCTATTGCAGTTCTAAACTGTGGATTCTCTGAGTATATGGGAATATTCTTTCAGCAGGTACGACAGAAACAAATTTAAATCATACTGACCACTTTAACCAAATAGCAGAGTTGATAACATCAGTCAAAATGGTACTGACGGCACGTAACACCTCGCTGCGCTTGTCGGTCTCCAAGATGGATGTCAGCTAAAATAGAAAATAATCACCAAGAGAATACAAATAAAACCATATAAATATCACCAGCAACAAAACCGCATTTATGTGGTTCTGGCGCACGCGAGCGAGACCAGCCTTGCCAATCCAGTCGAGTAGAAATAGTATGTCCTGTAAGCAACATGTATATCCTGTTATTTTTGTGAAATTAGCAGTTTGTTTCTTGAGCATTTTAGAACGCGTTCGAATCGTCAAAGATCTAACATAGACTGATTACACATCCCCTTGATTTGTTAGAAATGGCCCGATTTCAGATCTAAATTGAAAAGTTTTCTGTGTTTGTCAATACAACAGTCAATGCAGTCTTCTTCGTTGCGGCGGAAGCTGAGGCGTATAAGGGCGGCCGGGTGTGGCACAGTGTCAGCCAGCTTTTACCAACAGTAATCTGCTAGCCTCCTCAGTAGTTGGAGAAAGGGCTGGCGTCGTGCCGAAGCCATCCTACCCTAACACGCCTATCATTCGCATGTGCGCCTTCTAAGGAGAGCCACCATTTCTACTTCTAGCAGAATCTAGTTCCATTTCGAGTGCGATTTGGCCTACAAGATGAAGCGGGGCCAGTCGTTGTGCTAGTCAATGCACCCATTCACTGGACAGTCAGTAGGAATTAGCCGAAGCCCCAAGGGATGAGGCTCGGTTGGGTCGGACGGTTGCCGAACCATGATTTGACCCCCAAATCGTAAGCATACTACGGCACCTTCGCTCTATTATCGAAACCTACGAAATTGTATTCCGAAAAACCCAAACTATGGCTTCTAGCGTAATATTTTCGCAACTTCGGGATTTTAGGTGTACGACAACAGCAAAGCACGCAATTTAGAGCTAGGCAGGCATTTCTGTGTTGTTCTGTCAGCCTAGTTGAGCAATATCTCAGCTTAACCGAAACACCGTGCTCTAATAGAGCGGTATCCTCTCTGGGTGAATCCAAGACATCCCTCTCTTCCTCTCCCTCCCCTCCGTCCTAGTCACCCCCCTCCCTCTCCTCTGCCCTAGTCACATCATCTCCTCGTGTTGAATTCACTACTAAACTTAGTAAATTACCTTCGGCGTAGCGATAGCTGTCAGTGCAACAACTGTTAGCCTTCGTAATTTTTCTGCTCGGCACCTAAGAAACGCTTTTGTACTCAATCAGGAAGCAAATGTTGTACTCGAAACTTTAAAAACACAACCCACCAAAGGAGCACACGCAGCAAGGCAGGTATGAAAGGAGTCAACGGGAAATCCAAGGCCGCTTTGTTGGCGCTGGCTTCAACTACAGCTGCTACACCAGCATTTGATGGGAACAAATGAGTAAGAAAGATTAAAATTGGATACACGCTGAACTCGTCCTTAGAAGCCTGCAGTTGTTCGAATAGGTAGCTGTACAGAGAAGGAAACCTGAAAGCCATTGGTCATGACCATACATTCAGCATCACGAATTCTTTCCTCACCTTGAGAAAAACTCATACGAACTCTGACGATTTTTTGAGTCAACATAAAGGTCTCTTTGGCTCTTGTGAGCAACACCGAAAATCCGTGACCTCAGGGCTGCCGCCAGCTGAGCGGCCGCATTGCGTTCCGGCCATGTGGACGCTGAGCAACCACTAACCGCAACACGACATGCCCACTGAAAAAGATGCTGATACAGATGATACAGTGGAGCTAGCCCATTTTAGTAGTGATCAGATAGGATCTGCGAATCAATATCGAGTGAGGAATCAAAATCAAAACGCTTGTCGCAATTTTCCAAGCTTTCAGCACTTCTAAGTTTCAGTAGAAGAACTTTGGCAGGTGGACACTAACAAAACCAAAATTCTGTGAGAATGAAACGAATAAAGAAAAGG